GATACTCGCCACGTGACCTCGTTGACGCAACACAACTTTGCAATACACTTAATTTCCACAGTCGCGCTATAATAAACGCTATAATTCACAACGAAGGTCTCACGTGCTCCAGTCTCTCTGTCCGCAGTTCAATTACACATTACATAGTTGCCGTCAGTTCTTACCGGCTTATAAATACAAGACTACAGCATATCTAGTAGGCTCTCGAGATTTCAGGAAGGGACGTGAACGTTCGAGAAGCGCATGACGTGTTAATAGCGTCAAATAACCTCCGCTGTCGCAACAAAACAAACAAATCTTTTCTTTTACATTAGTCACATACCTATACACTTGTGCAATGTTGTATGAAGAAAGTTTTCTCTCATAAAGCTGATATAAAGAAATATTTGAATAAAAGTATTTACTGTAGTGATTATTTGTATTTAACTGTACCTTTTTACATTTTTCTTTTAGTCCGCCCAGTGGGTCAGCGGTAAGTCTACAGACTTACAACACAAAACATCTGTGGCTTGACCCTTCGCAGTGGACAGAGTGCAGATACCCTATCGTGTAACTTTGCACTAAGAAAACCACCATCACAACAACTTTTTACAATGCAATTATTCTATGGGCGATCACCTACAAGCAATACAAATTTCCAATAAGTATTAACACTTTACATTCATTGTTTCGGAGATATTACGAAATAAGGCGGCACCACACATAGTTCTATGGTTAGTGTGGCAGCTGGTGGATCTGAGATTCAGTGGTTTGCATTCCATCGTCGCCAAAAATAAAAAAAATCGCACTCCGCACTTTGAAGCCGTGAGTGCGTGGGTTAAATTCTAATATTCGGTCTGCAAAGATTGGCTCAAGAGTTGGGGGTGGTTGGTGTTGATTAGTTACCTTCTCTCTTGTCTATCACTTTAAAATAAGGGACAGCAAATGGCCTTCGCTTGCTTTGCCCAAAATTCAACAACCAAACCGCGCTACACGTGTTTTGGCGGTTTCCATAATGTTATCTTTCAGACTTTCTGCCCTTATTCGATGACGAGAAACCCACTTGGAGATTCGATGACGAGAAACCCACTTGGAGACTAATAATGGCTGGAGACGGCTTGAATGGGTAATGAAGAAAAACTTTAATATAAGTTTAATATAACAGCAAATGTACAACGTTTCGACAAGGTTTTGTCATCATCAGGTCACTCCTGCCCTTATGCTTTTATTGCTTTGTTGTGACAGCGGAAGCCACGCGACCCTGGGAGCATGCGCGCTGAAATTTCTCGAAGGATCATGAATTATCGGTGAAGACCGAGTTTGTTCAGGAAGGCCTCTTTATTAGTATATAAGCCTAGCGAGAAAAAAACAGCGACATGGAAGAGATATAGATAAGTGAATCAAGCGAACAGTAGGCACAGTAAGTAAAGTGTGTGAACTACTCTGATTTATAGCGTGTGTTATAAAAGTAGTTAAGTTAACTGATTGGAAATTCTGTGTATTACAAAGTTGTATCGAGGAAAAATAAACTGATTCAATTAAGAAAGGACTTGTATCGCTGAAATTCCTCGGAAATAATTGATACCAGAAATTAACAAACAAGCAGATACGCAACAGCTTTATAACCCATTAGTTCGGATTTTGTAAATGTATTATTGTAAGTGTTGTAGTTTTGTTTTCGGCTTGGCGCTTCATAAGCGTTAGCATAAGGCAGAATGTTCAGTGTTTGTTTGAGTGAGGAAGGTATTTGTTATACTTATAATGTCAATCTTAAAGGGGTTGAATTGTATATGATAATAGAGTTAAGTAGTATTTCATGAAAAAGACTGTTGTGTAAACGTAGGTAGTTTTTCCCATTTTAAGGGGAAAAGCTATTTTATCTGTTGTGTTCATAAGATCTCCATAAGCAGCGAAACGAAAAACAGATAAGCCTCTATGTCATTTATGGATTCTTATTTTCGAGTGAAAGCAAAGTTCAAAAGACGCCGAAAATGACGTTGTGAGTTCTGAGGATTACCGCTAGTTTCGTAAAATAGGTATTTACAATACTATAAACAATAACTTAAATAGTTTAGTAAAAAGTAAAACTTGAAATCATATAATATATTTGTTATTATTTAGCTTGGAACTTATTTTAGTTCTTTGTCAATCATATATTAATTCTTGTATGAACTCGTTTAACTGGAGGGCGGTGCTTACGCATTGCTCAGGTTGTAAATTCTGCAATATTAATTTTATTATAAAGAAGTGTTTTTGACATACGCCTTGGATTATAGATCTTTCATGTAAATTGTTTGTTTGTTAAATTTCGCGCAAAGCTACTTGAGGGCTATTAGCGCTAGCCTAAAAAGAAAACAAATAATCAACACCACTAATCTCTTACTCCTGAGCCATTCTTTAACACTGAGTAGAATAGTAAGACTGACGATCACGGTATAACGCCCACCACTGTTGAAAGGGCAAGCATTTTATATTGTTTATGTTAATATCCCTTGTTCTAATTGAGACGCACACTTAGGTAAGTATATTTTTAATTTAAAAGGAATAACTGGAAATCTCTATATTTCATTTTTAGCCGTAGCACGCTTGAAGTTGAACTTAAGTTTATGTTAGAGTTTGTAGGCTATATAACTTTTATAAGTATATTACTGTTAGTTATGAGTCTTATTAATATTAGAAAGACAAAACCGGCTGTATTATAAACTTTTATAACATTATTTCTCCATCCACCATTTAAACCACATGTACTACCTATTATTATATTACAAATTTTAAAAAATAAATTAACACAATAACAACAATACAGATGCTACAAGTTACAACATGGAACAAAATATTTTTAACATGTGATAATGAGAAATAATTTTGCCAAACAAAACTGTGATAATATAGTATTGGCTTCCAGTGGTTCAGTTGATTACCCTAATTATTTTTAAGTCAGAAGTTTAAACTTTAATATCATTCTACCACTGACTTGGTGCCCCATATAAGGGTATCCATTAAAAACTTAAAATTTTAAGCAGTTAAATCAAGTCATTTTTGCTGTGTTTATTATATGGGGCAGAGATAAAATAATGTTTTAAAACAGTAAACGTTTTTGAACCATGTATCATTTTAGTAGCTCTTAGGACTCTTTTTATCATGTTCATATTTTTCATGAAGTGACTTAGAAGAACCACAACTGTACATGATAGTCCAACAAGTGAGATCCCTCTCTACTGTAGTCTTGGACAAGGTTACAATAACTCCACACTTAAATTTAAAATTTCTAAAAGTAGGTCCTAGGACTATTTTCTGAATATTCTACAGAAGACTTAAAGTTTTTTTTCAGTAATCACACCTAAATTTTTTTTTTCTAAACAATTTCAACATACATCTTTTCCAAATTTCTATGCCCCAAGAACACCATTTTACACTTCTCATTCTGGCCAACTGGGTGAGGAGTATCTTGGTCCTGTTGATTCATTTAACATCCTCCACAGAATCGGCCATTTTCAGCATTTTAGAAATATACAACTGCATAAGTGTTTATACAGAATTATAAATGTGAGCTCAACCTATGATTGGAGAGATTTCATAGATTAGATTTTTAAAGAAAATAATATTTTTTTGCATTCGTTCCATCATTTTAATATATATGTGTATGTCAAGATAGCCAATGAACGTTAAAAACAGGTTTTTTAGGAATTTTTAATGAAATTTTACAGTAGAATTTTGTACTTAAGTGTAAATCAGTTTTCACTTGTATAGTCTGAGTATATTGTATAAGATCCATCATTGATAAACCTAAATTGCTAGGTGTTTACTCTTTTAAGAAAAGAGATTTTGAGATTTCATTGCAACATTGATGTTCTAATCCAGAGCCAGCCCTAGGCAAAATTGTAGCCTGTGCAAACTTTGTATTTGGTAGTCCTGTAAAATTGATAAGAACTGCAATGTTGATTTTGGTGCTCCTTAAGGTGGGTGTCCTCTATAGGGGCATATGTCACCCACCCCAAAGCTCTCATTGTTCTAATCATGGAAACAAGTTTGTGTTTTCTTAGCTACTGTTTCAAAGTACACATGTCGTTATTCAGATATATTTTGCAAATCTTGGATGAGCCGAGCCTGTCTAGCATTTCTTTGGGTAAAATACATTTTACTCTATCTTATCTGTGCTTACCTACTGCATAGAAGAGTTGTATATATTTTGTTATTACAGGCAGTCAAGATTTCTAATGATTTAATCCTCAGGTGTACAATTCTCTCTTACTTGCCCTCAACTTCATGTTTTCATTACATATTTCTTAAACCTAACTGGAGTTGTTGGTTTTAATTACAGCCTAAAGTCTACGATAAAGATGTTATAAAATAGGTAGATGTGTTTTTCAATATGTAGTAGGGTACAAAAATTCTTTATTTTTATTAACTTTGGTGTGATAAATATTTAAAAATTATTATTTGTTTGTTACATTGAATAAAAGGCTTAGAAGATGTTGAACATGGTGTTTTTACTTCTGTTGGGTCTTTTCAGTTCGGTGACCACCAACAGATCATTTTGAAAATGACACCAGTAATGCAATGAAATAAAATAATTAATAATAAAACATTATATGATATTTATTTAGTGAATTCTATGATATTAAACAATATTTTTTTGAATAAATCTTGATCTTTGTTTCTATTTCTACATATAAATTCACAAAGAGTCAAGCATTTGGTGATGAGTTCCACATTGATGCTTATAACTGTTGGTGGGCACCGAACGGATAAGAATCCTTCTTTTAAATATTGAGAAAATAAAGAAAAATTCTGGGTGGATGAAATGTTCTACCATTAACAAAGTTGCTAGAAATAAATTATCTGGGGATGAACTATTTGTGAACAAAGTATACAAGTATTTTTGGAGTTATGCACAGTTTGGTTAAACATACAATCTTTTTTTTCTCTTATTAACAGCCATGTGTTCATCAATAGAATGTGAGTTCACGTTCACCTTTCCTGATGTCCAGAAGGATATTTCAGTCAGTTATATGGTCACTATTCCATCATTGATGCCAGCAAAGGAACTGGCTTATCAGATCTTGGATGCATGCAAGCTTCCTTGCTATGTGGAAGAAGGTAAGAGTTATAGGGTTATTTAACATTTGTATTAGTCTTAATGCAACTAGATAATTAGTTTTATGAGCAATATTGAACTGTTTTAACATTAAGCCCAGATTTGTATTGTGATTTTTTTTCTCCAAACAATACAGTTATATTCACTACTGTTATTTTGACCAGACAGACAGAAACAGAACATGAATAATTATCACAGAATCAGATCAAAACAAGGGTTAAAAAATGGCTGTCACTATAATATAAAACAAAATTTTAGATTACCAAAACTGACCTGTTAAAATTGTGAAATTGAGATTATTCCAGGCAAAACAGTGCAGTCTACTTTGTTTGCTGTTCTAAAAGTAAGAATTGTTAGATATTTGTGGACTTAATAAGCGAGCCTGTGGTAAGATATACTAATCATATGTAATACAGTTACAGGAGGTAGTTTTCTTCCTTGTAGAGATTGTAAAATGGGAAAGAGACTTCAAATTTATGTAAAAATCACTGTCGATTATCTGCTTTATTGTAATTTCTCTACATTTAAATAAATAAGCATAATTCTTTTTTTACTATTTCTAAGTCTTTTTTTTTTTTCATTTCTTACAGATTTACTTAGTTCACTGGAGGGTTTTGTGTCAGAAAAAACAAAAACATTTCTTGATGAAAGAGCAGAACAAAATATCAGACCCTACCAGACAGGAGATGCTGATATGGAGTCTCTAGTTGAAAGATGGAGTCGAGCATTCCGAGAGGTGATAGCATAGTGAGGCTTAGTGCTCTTGTAATTTTGTTGGTAGAGTGTTGGCTTCAGAACCTTGGTGGGAGCCAATAATCACTGTCATGGCAGATTTTCAAACTTGTGGTAATTATTAGATGTCATCCCGAAGGCCATCTGGATTAAATAGATGATGAATCATACCATCTGTGTTTATTTGGCTTATTGGTGTTCCTGGTGTGCTGATTGTGTTTTAAGGTTATAGATTTAGTTGTCTGAACACCTGTAAAATTAATGCATTATTTAAAAGAAAGGAATTTTTTATTTCTCAAATTTAAACTATATATATATATATATATATATATATAATAACTA